GAGTGGTTAGGGTATTTGAAGGAGAATTAATATTTATGTTGAAGTCCCCTAGTATAAGGGCAGGGTTGTGAAGGAGAGACAAATTGTAAGCGAGATACCAAGCTCATTGAAGAAGGGAGTCTGTAAACAACTGCTACCAGGATTTTGATTGGGTAGTAGATACGAATAGCATGAACCTAAAAGGAAGAGAGGTTACTGAGTGAGGGAGGAAAGAGGAGAACCTGGAAGTGACAATGGGGAGCAAGATGGTATAATGTTAACAGAAGACAGAAATATTCAGTTATTTTCTACTAAGGAAAAAGATAGATAGATGGATGCATGGATAAAAACATTTATTAAGTGCTTATTATGTTCTAGGCACTTTGCTAAGTGCTGGGACTACAAGTATAAACAAGCAAGATAGTAGTCCTTACCCTCAGGGAGCTTACAGTCTAATAGGGGAATACAACGCATTAAGAAAAACTGGAAAAGGGGACAGGAAGCAAGTGTGGCAGACAAGGAAAAAGAAAATGATTCTGTAGAGAGTCCAGGCAAGAGTAAGGTGATGCAGAGATGGGATCCTACCTAAAATGGTGGGCCCAGGGAAGGAGTTATTAATGACACAAAGAAAATCCCAGGACAGAGACTTCTCAGCGTGGCAATGAGGAGGGCAAGGAAAGGGAGGAGGATCCCGAAGAGAGTCCAGCCGTGTCCACAGGAGGATGGCCAGGTTAGTGAGGGGAATTGAAAATTCTATTCGAAAAATAGTTGCAAGATCTAGGGATATTTAGCCTGGAAAAGAGAGGACTTGGGTAGAAACATGATCACTATTTTTGTTTTTAAGGGACTGAAGGGTTCTCATGTAGAAGATGAGTTAGACTTACAGAGCTCCAGGGGACAGAATTAGAACGAATGGATGAAAGTTTACAGATACTAGCAGATTTCAGCTAACAACAACAACAAAAAGAGTAGGTAACTTTTATATAGTGCTTACTCTGAGCTAGGCAGTGCGCTAAGTGCTTTACAATTATTATCTTGCTCGATCCTCACACCAACCCTGGGAGGTAGGTCCTGTTTTTATCCTTGTTCTTAACAAATTACAATTATCCCAGAATGGCTGCTTGGTGAGGCAGTGAACTCCCTGTTCCTGGAAGTATTCAGGAATAGGCTAGTTGAGCTCTTGTTAATGGTAATGTTGAGCTAAATGGCCTCTGAGGTCTCTTTCTGTGCTAAGACTTATAGAATCATATTTCTCTGTCTGTGGCAGTTGATATATGGAACAAAGACAAAGAGTGGGTTTTAGCCGAGGGGGTTGGAGGTATGTAAGTGGAGGGAGGGAGAGGAGAAAGGTCAAGATTGGAGGATGGGTTATAATGGAGTGGAAGAAGATTAAGATGAAGGAAACTGTGTATTCCCCTTCTCCACCATACCCCCATTCCCCGCCTCCACTACAGGCCTGTGAAGCAGTGAGTCCTGGGAATTGACTGAACTGTAATTGTGGACTTAGAAATTTGGGGAGTCTGGGAGGAGAAGATGCTGTCGTTTATCCAGTTTGAGTCTTGATGTGTTCATTATTCATTTATTCAATAAATATTTACTGAGCACCCACAGTGCTAAGGTGCCATGAGGTCTCCTCTAGTCTAGAAGCTTAGTGAGGTTGGAGGGACAAGATATACGGACAGCCATGAAATAAGAACCCGAGGCTGTTTGTGGTAAGTGCTAAATTCATGCATTCCCCAAGAGAAATAGCTACTGGGTGGGAAAAGCCTTCATCCTTTTCAAGCTTAGCATGAGGTTATTCCCTAATATTTCCCTTTCAAGGTCTGTATCAAGTGTAGAAAAAAACAAAACATTTTCAAAGTAACTCAGACTTTGGCATCATCCACAGTATAAAACTGAAATTTCACCCTCCATTCTGTTTTGTTAAGCCTTCAAGTAGGTGTTTGAGTGGTTGGTTGGCAGTCAGGGAAAGGTTAGACCTCCTAGCACATAATCAATAAACCAAACATACTGTCTTTCCTTTAGACTCAGGATTCACTTTTGTACCATTCTCCTTACACAGCAGAACTCTGCAGTGGCATCAGAAGAGACTATGAAGCCAGTTTCCATCTTTCCATCACCCTATTTGGAGTTTCGCTGAATTTCTTTGTTTCAGGTCTTTGATTTTAACCGAAGTAGCAAAGTGGGAGCAAGTTGCTGTGGAGGTAATAACAATAACAGCTAGCATTTCTATAGTGCTTCAAAGTTTGCAAAGCTCTTAAATATCTCATTTTATACTCACAACTACCCTGGGAGTGCTTGTTATTATCATCCCCATATTAAAGATGAGGAGACTGAGGCAGGGTCACACAACTAGTGAATATTTGAGGTCACAGTTGAATTCAGGTCTTCCTGACTTCAACTCTATCTACAGAACCATCTATTACCTACCTACTAGGTAGCTAGGATATGGTAAGGTAGCTGATACCCTGATGGAATTAAGGCTGATACCGTATGTGGCATTAACTGGATAGGCATGGGTGCACTGACCGTTTCAGTCATCTGAGCACTCAGTACATAACTTTGCTTGACATCTCTGGCCTGTTCCTGAATCTAACCTTGGGAGTCCAGAATGGAGGACTGTGCAATCCCCAATACTCAACAGTAAGTGGCCTGAGTTTCTGAGCTGGTGGTGATTTGATTGTCTTTTCCCAGTTGGTTTCCAAATAAACTCAAATTCAAGTTGTATGCTTATTTATAACACTCATCTATTTCTAATAATACTATCTAAATCTTTTTTTTCCTTCATAAAACCTAGTTGGGTGGATTACATATTCTTTTTTTAAAAATTAATTTATTTTTAGTTTTCACTTCCATAAGCTTTTGAGTTTAAAATTTTCTTCCCCTCCCTACCCACCTCCCTCCCCAAGACGGCGTGCAATTTGTTATAAGCTCTACATATACATTCCTATTGAACTCGATTACATATTCTTATAGACCTCAAGTGACTAGAAATAGCCCAGTGTAGGCCACTGGTAGTAGATTTGAGGTTCCTGGGGCACAGATAAGAGGTGGGGTATAGATTGTAGGAAGGAGCAATTTTGGCTGGTACCTGGTTTCTATACCTATCAGGATCTGCTTTCAATTGCTACCAACTGTCCCTTCCCCTTTTAGCCACATTTAGTCACATTCCTGCCTTCACCCTGGGATTACTTCCTGCCTTAACAAGAAAGACAGAAGAATCCATTGGCAGAGCCACCAAGCCTTGCCTTAGTATCAGACTAACATTCAGATTGTTGGTATTTCCTATCATCGTCTCTCCTATGTGTTTGCGTTTTTACTCCTTTTTCCTTGCTCTGGTTTTTGGTAACTTTGAGTTCTATGCTACTGGGTAGGAAAAGCCTTCATCCTTTTTGAGCTTAGCATGAGGTTTCTCCCTAATACTTCCCTTTCAAGGTCTGTATTAAGTGTAGAAAAAAAACAAAACACTTTCAAAGTAACCCAGACTTTGGCATCATCCACAGTGCTACTTGCTACGTGACTTTCCTGGGTCTAATACCCAATTGGCAACTCCTTTTCTCCACTTGACACAGTTTTGTTGGGGCATCTTTCCCACTTTCACAGAACCTTCTAACTTCAATCAATCAATAAACATTGATCAAGTGCCTACCCTGTGTCTCTACCACTGTACTAAACTCTGGGGACACAAGAAGAGAACAAAGACACTCTGCCCTCAAGGGTTACAATCTAATCAGGAAGGCCAGAGTCCAAGGTAGTTTAAGCAGAAAAGGGATCTGCAGGAGACTTGTGGATGTGGGGGGAGAGAGTGAGGGGAGTCTACTAAAGCATCACCAGGGTTCTCAAAAAGGAGAAAAATCTTTGTGTGACTTGTGACCAGGAGTATAAAATCGCATACTTAGTGTCTGCTAAGTATGGAGAAAGTAAATGGAATTTGGAAAGATGTCAAGTGGTCATTTGCCTACTCAAGATCTACTTGGGCAAATCATTTTTCCAGGCCTCAACTATAAAATAAGGACTTAAATGGGAATGTTTTCCAACATCCCTTTCAGCACTAAATCCTGCTTTAAAATTATAATCTTACAAGTGTGGGAGAGTGTACCTGGTGTTTTGGATTGTATTGAAGGGGAGTATCTGCCTAAAGCAGGGCTGTGAAGGGAAGTTAGCACCAATGTAGACTTGGCTATAGGGTCTGGGATATTCTTTTAGAATATCCGGGGATATTCCCTCTGCCGGGAAGAAGGGAGCAAAGGCATACCTAGTTTCAAGATTTTCTAAATTCAGCCTGTGTCTTAGGGCTTGATGAGGCCTGGTGAGGGAACAATAGAATGTGGACAAATGTCCACAGTAGGAAAGGATGATTAGTCAATTCGCTAATTAGGGTCCTATTTGTACTTCTTTGGTCAGGTATTATTTGATTTAAATGAGATACCCTGATTGCACTGAAACCTCTGGTGACTGTCAACCAGTGTTAATATGTGTGAATTTCATAAATAATCATTTCATAGTAGGGATCTAGAAGGATGTAACATGTTTGGTACTTATACCTGCATTCAAGGTACACAGTCTTAAATTAACTGTTTGTCCTTCAAGCTAAAAGTATAAACAGGACCCTACTTTATGAATAAATTTTCTAATTCCACCCTATTAACTTGGATTTGTCGTAAGGTATATGTATATGTATGCATGCACGTATAAAAATTTAACTCCCAGCTATCAATGATGATTGAAAAGAGGCACAAGTAATATAAAATAACCTATAATACAGTCATATTGGCTTTTTGGAATAGTGTAGTATATACATATTGTGTATACACATGGATTGTTCCAAAATGAACCCTTTGTACCCCTTCACCTTCTCCTTCCCTCCACCCATGTCATTCCCTTTGCAGCTCAGTCCTAGTGCCAACAGTTCAACACTAGGCATGAGTAAATCAAAACAACATCAGAACAACGAAATCATTTATATTTGGCTTGGGAATGTACAACACACAATATGATGACCCTTAACCTGTGACCTGCAGCTTGATCCTGTGCTCAGTCTCTGGGTCTGTTTGGGCAGCTGAAGAGTGGATCCCAGTCATGGGGGTTACCAGCTAATGGATAATTGGCCATTGATTCCAGGTATGTATGATAGATTGTGGCCAGTCAGGAGAAATCTCTTGCTTTGGAGGTAATTAGCATGTGCCATAGACTCTGGGAATATCAGTAATAGGCACCTTTATTTATTCTGTTTGCTTTGCCTAGAATGCCCAATCCCTACAATGTCCACCCATTAATGGCCTGTTTCTTCTCAATGTTCAAATGCCACCTATGTGAAGCCTTTATGAAGTTTTAGAACACAACACTTATAGAAGTTTTATGACTTCTGCTCTATGCCTAGGTATAGCCTCTAAACTTCCATAAAATAGTGTCCACATAGGGGCAGCTAGGTGGTACAATGGCTAGAGTGCTGGACCTGGAATCAGGAAAACCTTGGTTCACATCCAGCTTTAGACTCTTACTAGCTATGTGACCCTGGGCATGTCATTTAATGTTTGCCTGCCTCAGTTTCCTCAACTGTAAAAAGAGGATGATGATAGTACATACCTCCCAGGGTTGTTGTGAGAAATTGAATGAGGTAAAATTTGTAAAGTACTTAGGACAGTGCCTGGCACATAGTAGGTGCTAAATGAATGCTGGTTCCTCTTTTTCCACTATCTCTCATGGTACCAGTCCTTATTTGTGTACTTAACCTTCTTTCTTTTGCCAGATTCTAATAAGTTTCTTGAGGGAAAGGACTATATATTTTTAAATTCATCTTTATATCTTCTGGAGTTCCTTGAGTAGTACCATATAACAGGTACTGGTACTCAGTAAATAAATGCTGGAAGGAAAAATATTAGGTAGATGTGATATGGAAATTCTGAGGCAGCTCTTTCAGCTCATAATCTGCATCTCCTCCTATACTATAGAAATTTTAAGTCTGTATAGAGTGTGTTTAATTGGAAAATCATTTTGCAAAATAAATTTGGGCTTCTTTTACTCCCTGCCCTCCCATTAATTACAGAAATGAATTACACAGTAATTAGGATAAATTGTTTGAATTTTCTTATTCAATACATTTTTAGATTTTCCGCACCAGGGCCTTAATCCAGAAAACCCATCTGTAAGAGGCTTTAATATTCTAGGGCTTGGCTTACCCCCTTCTTTATTTATAGAGTTTGGATGGGGAGAAGAGGAGGGGGAGGGAGAACTGCATATTCCACAATGAGTGATCTGGCCCAAATTACTCTTCTGTCATTTTTGTCTCAGCATCATGTTCATGGGGCCTTTAAGAAATGGAGATCTAAAATGACCATGTGCTGCCAGTCAGGGCATTTGTCAGGATAATGCCCTTTCTGATTTTACTTTCTCCTTTGAGCTTTTTTCCCCCTTTCATTCCACAGTAGTGCCCACAGAGGCATAAATATCAAGCGACAGCCCTGAAAGACAGCCCTTGTTTTCAAGCATAGCTCTAACATATCTAGTCTTGCAAATTTGACCCTTTCGTCTGAGTAGGAGTGAACAAGATTTTTATGAGAGTGTAAAGTACAAGGACACACTTTATGTTGTCAATGTGACACTGAAAAACAGCTACACTACCTGATAATTTAGAGGCAGAATAGTATACTTGGTGCCTGGCTATTCAGTAACATAGACTGAGAGCCCGTAGTATCCAAGAATTTGCTACTAGGAGTAGTGGGGGAAATAAACAGGAGAAGAAGGACACAGGGGCCCTTGTCCTGGGGGAACCCCCAGAAAATAGGACACATACACAATGCTACTACAATTAATATTTTTATACTCATTTCCTCACTGTTAATCTCTCCCCACCCCACAATGTGGTTTTCTTTTGTACTCTGTGGAAACATTTTTTCTTAAGAGTCACAGATGACTAACTGCTGAGCCTGGAGACCATTCTTCAGCTTTTGGTATGGTTCATTATCTTCCTCTATTTTGAGATTCCTTCCGTAGCTTCTGGGATACTATTATAACCTCTAGGTGGTGCTGGGGAGGGCAAATTTGGCCACCTGTAACTCACTCCATATTCGCCTGCCCAACTGTCAGCCTCCAGCAGAAAGGGAGAAGAGTTGATCCTTCCTAAATAATGCTGTCTCTTCTCACGGATCTGATTCAGAGTCAGGACTCTCTCTTGTCCCCACCTTTATATTTCCTTTCACTGCCTTCTCTGAGGATAGAGAATGCTGTCCAGACTGCTAGGGATAAGGTCAGAGTGCTTTTTGCCAGAGGCACATCCTAGATACACAAGGATCCTTTTCTCTGCTGGCTTAAAGAGCTCAAAAAAGTAAAGATGCTTAATGTTGATTCTGCTGTTTTGTTTTGTTTTGTTTTGTTTTGTTTTTCAACAATATAATGCCTTTAAAGGACTGGCACTTGAGTCCCTTGGCTGATTATCACTGTCTTGATTCTTGGCTTGTATCACTTTTCTCAGTCCTTCATCAGCCATCTCCTTTCTTTGCTATTAATCCACCTCAGACAACTGAGGCAAAGAAGGATGGATCATTGAAGCAAGACCCACATGTGCTGCTGCCATGTTGTCCAGTGGAAGTACTAAACTTTCAGCTCTACCACCATTTGCTTGTATTCCAGTTCTTTGGGTATTACATCAAGCCTTTCCTCTTTCTCAAGTAACACTAAAACTTCAGTGTTATGGGGCCTTAGGGACAAGATGTTTGCATCTTCCTTAGCTGGTAGTGAACGTTCAGTTTGTAGGTAGCTGGTAAGTAGCAGCTGGCTTGGCACTGGTCAGAACATGTCAGTAAATTGTTGTCAATCTACTTGTAACTTCACTCTGTACAGTGTTTAAACTTCTCAGTGATAGCTCACATTAGAACCAAGAACTATGTGTTTTATATGGGTAATGAGTTTTCCCATGGCTCAAGCCATTGCTGGTAAATTCAACTGGTTTTTGGTTACCAGCACTTTCTTCATACAGGATTGCCCCTAAACCCTCCAGATACCTAACATGGCATCTATATGCATGACAAAATGCTCTTTTGGGTCTGCATAGCCTAACCCTATCACACATGTGAGACAATTTGCCAAGCGTTTGAAGCTTTTTCGTGTGTTTGTCCTTCAGTCTTCAAAGAACTTTGGGGATTTTAAGACATCTTTGCATTTTTCACCCATCTGTTGTTAGTGCCTCTTCAATTATATTTGTTGGAGTAAGGTCATTTGGTGGCTTAGCAATAACCTCCTAATTCCTAGCACATTTATGATAATAACCATTGCATCCTAGAAAAGTCCGTGAATCTTGAGTTCTTTTGACATGGCTAATTCAGTAGCACTTTTACATTCTCTGGGTTGGTGCTAACATTTTATTGATAATGTAACTCACATACTTGACAGAGGCTCTGCAAGACTGGCAATTGCCAATTGATAACTTGCTTTAGGCTATTATCCTTTAATCAATCTGTTAGGAAATTCTTCAGTGCAGAGGTCCTGAGATCCTCCTGAAGAGTAATTGCTCCCATCTTGGTACATTTGACTGGAGGTCAATAAATCAAGAGGCAAGGCTTAGATGATAAAATGTTTAATTAGCTCAACTGATAGTTGCAAGATGGATAGCAAATCCAAGGGAAAAAGGGATATGCACACATGTAGGGTTTTACAGAGCCTTAGTGCAACATTACAGGTGGTGAAAGGGGCCTATCGGGTGAGGCTGCTCGGTCACTTTTTCTCTAATAGGGACAGGATGTCAGGTGATTTGGAGGAGAACGGATCTCAGGAGTTGCAAAGATCCAGTTTGTTCCAGTGGGGCTATTGTACTATGGTACTGGAACTCATGGTTCTTGAGATGGTCAGTATTTTCTTTTTTTAGGCAATTGGGGTTAAGTGACTTGCCCAGGGTCACATAGCTAGTAAGTGTCAAGTGTTTGATCTGAGGCCAGATTTGAACTCAGTTCCTCAGGGCCAGTACGCTATCCACTGCACCACCTAGCTGCCCCGAGATGGTCAGTATTAATTAAGGTATATATCACAGACACAGAAATTTTCCTAGTTTGATGAATGTGGGTAATCTCCCTCTTCCTTTCCATTAAGGGGGTCCTCTCGCTGGGTGTTATTGTTCGTCCTTTGTTTTCAGAGGATCCATGACATCATGGGGTGATGTTTTGACTCATCCCATGGATTTAAGTGAGGCAAAGTTGTACAGAGTTGTTGGCCTCACTCTCTCTTCCAGGGTCATCTAAGTCCAATGGCAAGACAAAAGTCAGGACAACTGGAGATGGGCTAGAATGCAGTGGGTGACCTTGGTGTCTACAGTGTCTGACCAAGCTCTTTATAAACTAGGTTGAGGGTAACCAACAGGCCTCATACCTGTCAGTGAGTTAGGAGGATGTCTACCCCAAGCGTGTGAAGACTTCCCCGGTGGAATGGGTGGAAGAGAATGATTTGTTCCAATGACCATGAAGGCAGCTGAAGCAGGGGCTGTGGAGCCCTTAGAGCTTGGGCAGACATCAAAAACACGAAGGTCTCATTGGACCTACTTATGTGGTAAATGGGTTCAGGCCTGGTGGAGCCTAGCCTCCTCTGAGAGTGGTTAGGCTCCCCTTTTTTCACTCTTTAGCTTGTCACATTCCCCAACCCCAGCACCCCGGTATGATTTATTTAAAGCTTAAGTGTTGGCTCATGTCTACAGTCTCCCCAAGGGAGGCAGTATAATGGTATTCATTATAGAATATAAATCAGGTATGGGACAGGTATTTATTTCCTACACACATAAGAAATATGAACCCCAAACACTCACAAGTGTGCATCGACAGAATTAAAATAAGATTCAGTAACTTCACCTCTAACTATTGTTATACTCTCCTGTGAGTTTTATACTTACACTTTATCAAAATATAAAGCAGTTTGAGGAACTGTTGAATGCAAATTTATATTTTACTTCTTGTGGAGTCTTCCTGCTCATTTCACACAAATCTTCACAGGTTTCTCTGAAACTATCTCCTTCATAATTTCCTAAAGTGCAATGGTATCTGTCACAATCACATACCATAGCTTATTTCAGCTATGGTTGGACAGCCCCCCAGTTTCCAGTACTTTGCTATTACAAAAAGCTACTATAAATATTGTCATAT